CTTTGGGTTGAACCCATTCAGGGACTAAAGGGTAGGGACATGCATTGTTGTCTGCTTGTGTTTTGAAATTTTACACAAAGTGGCTTTAAATTCGCACTAATTGAGTTTCTGCCCCCTTAGAGGCAACAAAACGTATATATTTTCACTGTATAAAGCTGCTTTGTTTGAAGAGTTAGCAGCTGCCTATTTACACATCCGCAAAAAATATCTCGGTTTCAACTGCTAATTGCTTGACTACGTTCACCAGCTAGTTGCTCATCTTGTCCTAAGTAGCATACAGTATTCGTCTGGGCTTTTACACTGAAAACAGCGGCCTGCTGAGACTAGATATCAGGCTGTTGAAAGAGTCAACCAAAAGATTGATGTCTGTAGACCTAAATGAGGAAACTGTCTGTGTGGGTGACAATTCTCTGTGCATTCATCAGGTGAGCCCTTTTACATTACACATATTAATTTGATCCATTGTTAATGTAACATCCATTCATGCAGTTTTAAATAAACTAAAATGGTAAAAGTTTAGGCGCAACTACCAAGTGTAAAGCTTCCTTTGCTGGGCGTATACGCATGACATGAAATCTTTATAATGAGTCAACAACTTTGTTATGATTGGCATCTGAATGAATTCAACAGGTACTGGCATGCATAAGATAAAAGGAGAGGGCAGAGAAGAGGACTGTTGAGAGACTGTTAGGAGAAACGATAAAAAACTGTGTGATATAGCCACACATTTGTGTTTAGTGTGTCTCAAAAGATTTTTTTCTCAAAGTAGATTTGCAAATACTTTAGTACTATGATTTACATTGGAGATTCTTGAAACAGGCTTTCTGAGTCACCGGTCATTCAGAAGATTCTTACAGATACCAACTCACTATGGCAAAGCAAGTGTGGGCAAGTGAAGAGGATAGTAACCAATGAAAGGAAATGTCTCTTCAATTGTGATTTTCTTCATGACAGCTCCTAAACTGATAATCATAAAAGCAATGACGCAGGTGAACACACAGGATGAATCAGAAAAGAGAGAAAGATAAGCGATATTTTTCCCACTTGCATTTCAAATAAAATTGGAAAAACCTTGAGAACGTCACTATAAAAACAATCTGCCCACAAATAATGTGTATCAGGAAAAATGTTATGTATTTATATGTGTGAGCGTGTGTGAGTAGAAATTAAATAATTACATAGTGGGAGAAAAAACTACAGAGTCACAATAAGGGGACTCACGTCCTATGTGGGGACAAAAAGGTTAAATCTTGTTGATGAAAGAACATTTGTGTGTGTATGTGTGTAAAAAAAGAACATTTGATCATCCAGCTTTGCTTCAATATTGCAGCTGCTTCCCATGTGTACACTTAACTAATGTTTTAGGACACATTGTATTTCATACCGAAATCACTGGAGTGACTGTAAAGAACAGTAACATGGAGTTGTGAAGTCAACAAAAGCTCAACAGTAAAACTTTTTATTATAGTAGAATTCTGTGTTTGGACACACTCAAAACAATATTTCCCCCAATCCAATTCCTAACACATTACAAAACCAAATAAAAAAACTTCTAAACTCTCTGTCAGCCTGGAAATATTGGGTATGTTGGCACTTTTAACCATTTTCCTCTTCTTATCTATCTGTCTGTCTTCTCTGTTCCTCTTCTTGCTGCCTTATGACCGGCACAAACCTCAGTCTGAAAGCCCCTCTCTCTGAGTGACAGCCGTGAAGTTATTAATATGTGTGAGTCCTTGCCCGTGTGGGTGTGTTTGTGTGGTTCTGTACTTTAGTGCTAGGTTGTGTGTGTATGTGGTTGTTTATGTGCACTGACAGCAGACTTTGAGCATAACTGGACAGGCCGTCTGTTGCTGATAGGAGAATCACTCCCCTGACAGTTCCTGAAGGGGAGTGCTGATAGGCCACCCCATCTGAGTGACCTTGAGCCAATCAAAGAACCTTCAACCGCGAAGTTGCCTGTTAAAAAAAAAAAAAAAAAAAAATGACTTCTTGAATTTGTGACAAACTTGCTGTTCTGTGTGATTCACAAGCATATGTGGACCACATGCAGAACTGCTTATTAGTCATGGTGTTTGCTTCCTTGCAGTACCAGTTCTCTGGAACACATTATTCATGTTTTGGACAGTGGCAGTGAACAGTTCATGTTAATTGATAGCAAAACCACAAAACTGTTACTCAAAACTCTGATCATGAATCATAAAAGTAGGCAGTAGTATGTTTGTTCTTTGAAATAAATCAATTCTTCTAATAGGGTACAATTAAAACCACATCTTTTGTCAAGTCCGACAGGCATGGCTTGCATCTAAATGGTACTGACGCAATGTACATGTTGCTACTTGATGTGTGACGATCTGATCTGTGTAACGGTTTCTGGCACTGTTTGGTTTCATTGAGAAATACTTGAAACCTAAAGAGTAATGCAGAGTGCCTGTGAGTCTGTGTATCTGTCTGTGTTTGCACACATGCGGCTATTTTTGCAACAAAAGACTGCTTAATACCTGTGTCACCCTGGGCACAGCGCAATTAAAATCCAATACTCTCCAGGAGTCCATAACATGCTGGGTTTACTGACAGTGAACAGAGCTCAAATGGCCAACAGAGAAGGGGCGAGGGGTTTTATTTGAAGAGCGCAGCAACAAAATGATGGAAAATATGATCACAGAGGTTGCACTGCCGGCAAATGTGAACATCCTTTAGATGCATTGACAGGCAGCTACTGTGAAAACTGTCAGTTCAGCTTCACAGATATTCAAAAGATATATACACAGATGGAAATCCCTCAGAGGGGAATCAAGCTGTTCATTATCAGAAGCAATGAAACATGGATGGTATGATGGGATGACACTAAAATAGGCTTGCATAAGCATTTATCTTTTCAGTTTAGAGTAGATAATTGGCAGTAGAGCTATAATGAGAGCATATGCAGAGATGAAATCTAAGGGCCTCATGACATGGTTTGGCTGTGGTGAAAGATAGTTTAGAAAAAAAGTGCAGTTTTCCAATCGTAGCATATGTATGTGTCATCAAAAAATGTCTCTTTTGGTAGATAGGTATGCCATCTCACTTACAACATAACGATATAGTAAAATGTTCTGTATTGACATACACTACACTGCATACACTACTACATACAACATACAAATGTGCATAAGCAACTGTAGCTTAATTCTGATCACATTAAAATGATGAGCCACTGATAACAATGACAAGTTCTCATCTGCTAAACTCCCTCGCTCCCTCTGAAATTAGGTCATTTATTCTCTGCAGTGACATACTTTATTTGCTTTCCTCTCACTGTAATGCTAACTTTCACTTTTAGACCCAACATCCTTAGTGTTTGCAGAGTTAATTGCTCTTACAGAGGTGACCCTCTGATGAACTTTGGTGTTCAACATTAAAGGGGGCATGAGCAAAAGGCCACGTAACTATATAACTAAGCAGCGACAATACAGAGCAAATAGATCAAAGTAAACGTTTTTTTTTATGGGGATAGATAGTAAGCCATGTCACAATATTGTAAAGATGTATAGAAGCCAATGACCCTCTAGTGGTTTAGAGTAACAGAGAAAGCAGGGTTTTAGGATCAAATACATTATGAGGTCCTCCTGACAGACTTAATCCTCAGTATAGAAGCACAGTGGCAATTGTCTTGGTTCAAGCCTACTTATATGGTGCACTTAACTGCTTCTGTGATTGACATACATTGCTGTGTGAGGACAGCTGTGTATAACAGTAAAGAAACCCATGAGAATGGTGATTTGCATATCAAAATAGTGCAAATAAAGATGTCTGTAGATTTAAACTAGGCTACATTTGAAACTTTAAACATGTATAAGCACTTTTTCAACAGCATCTACAAATCTACACACTGAAATATAATTTAAACGGAAGTTATTTTTAACCTAGATGTCTAAAAAACTCACTAATGCACCACTGCTATAAGCATACTGTGAAATTCCATTTTCAAACTGGCTTAAAGGACCAGTGCATAGGACTCAGTGGCATTTAGTGGTGAAGTTTCAGATTGCAACCATTTGAATACAGCTCAACCTCCCAAGTGTGTAGGAGAAACAACAGATGCCTCAAAAAGCCCTATCTACAGCCGGTCTTTGGTTTGTGTGTTCTGGGCTACTGTAGAAACATCATGGTTCAACATGGCGGCCTCCATGGAAGAGGACCCGCTTCCTCTGTAGTTAAAAGCGGCTCATTCTAAGGTAAAAAAACACAACGATTCTTATTTTCAGGTGATTATACACAAATGAAAACATAACTATAAATATTATATTGCATTTCTGCCAATGTATCCTTATATTCTATACAACCATGTAACCTTCCCAACCATTTGGATAGGGATTCATTGTCATGCTGTATGCAGCTGTATGTAGTTACTTTCAATCTATGTAGCCTATTTGACAATTTATTCAAACTCCCTGCTCTTGTTTAATGTCATAATCACAGCACAGTCAGACCTGACAGTCAAATATGTGTTTAAATCAGGGGTTTAAATTGTTTAGTTCTTCGTGATTTGAGTGGTTCTCAAAGAAAGGTTCAGGGATCTTCAGGAGACCTCACCTCCAAAACTATCTTGCAGTGCAATTAAGCTACTGATATTAAGGAATTGGTCATATTATAAAATGCTGTTTTAGAAAGAAACAATTCATCATTCTAAATGTAAATGTAAATTACTGTAGAAAATAATTACACTAAAAAGCAGATGGGCACTCACTATAGTAAAAACAGTATTATTACAACAAGGATTTTATAAGCTCTTTCTAACCACAAAGTGCTTTGGATTAAAAGCTGTTGACAACCATATGAGTAAGCACACTGAAATATAGTACACATCACTTCACCACAGTGTTCACCTGAACCTGCGCCCCGGAGCTATTTAGGCGCCACTGACAGCAAGTGCCGCTGACAGGGTCACTTCTAAACGCCGCCCTAACGGAGGAGGCGACGACTTGTTTGACAGGGAACTTCACAAGGCTGCTTCATTGCCTCACTATTTGTCATAGGCTGTATAAATATGGGATCTCCCCCCTGTGGATCACACACTTGACCAATTGCGCCGCGCAAGAGTCTGATGGCTCATTTGAATTCAGCGATCCTCTGAGGCTAGATGTGGTACAGACAGTATACAGTAGTAGGTAGTGAAGGGTCTGTGCGTGAGTTTGTGCGCGCGTGTGTGTGTGTGTGTGTGTTTATGTGTTTATGTGAATGTGCACTCCTAGAATAGAAAGCCAAAGGAAGAAGAAGGAGAAGAAGAAGAAGAGAGGCGGGATCGGTTTGTGCCTTGTTGAAATCCAGGGTGAAGCAAATACACAGTCTGTAACAGATCGATCAGCACTTCGCGCTCCCTTTGTGGATTTGATGGATGTTTGATCAGTGGATGTGATGCCCATATATATCATCGACCGAAAATTTCCCGACACATCTGGTAAGTCGCTCACGCACCCCGAGCGCTTCTTATAACGCGGTGCCATCTGTGTGCGTCTCTGTCTGTCTCTCTCTCTCTCTCTCTCTCTCTCTCTCTCTGTGTGTGTGTGTGTGTGTGTGTGTGTGCGCGCGGGTGAGTGCATTATTATTGCGTGTTTGCGTGCGCGAGTGCAGTCCGGGTGACACGGGGCAGCGTGCACCAGTTGATCATGCCACCCCCCTTGGAATTCCCAACGTGCAACAGGAGATGAGGAGCTGGCACGCATCTATCATGCGTCTTCTCAGTTGCAAATCACTATGTGTGCTGCAGCTGAATATTTTTATCACTGGAGTTTTGACATCTAGGTATTTGGTCTTATCAAAAAAATACTCTAATCTATATTATTCCAGCTAACTATCCAGGTAGGTAAGCTTACTTTGTGCTTTTGGTTCACTGTAGCTATGTTGGCACTGGTGATATTTTTAAGTTGTTATATCCCTTTAAAAGTTATTTTTCCTTTTCCATTTATACTGATTTCAGAAAAAAGAAAAAAACATTAGGAAAGCAATTTAAGAGGTTGGCTTCATTTCACCTAGATCACAGCACCTTTGGGCATCAAGTCTCCTCTCTCAAAAATGATTTTAAAGTGATTTTAGTGTTCAGTGAGCTGCTATAGACCCAGTGCTGCAAATCATATCCCAGGAAGGTGTTATTTTAGTTTGTTAAGTAGGCCACATTCCTGTACTTATTCAAACTCAATTAGGTACATGACATGTTCATGGCTCACATTGATGTAGGTTGTAAAAAAGTGACTTTGTGCAAGCAGCCTCATGTTGACTTGTGTGTGCATGTGTGTGTATGTGTGTGTCCAGACACATGGGTGTTTTCAGGTGTCTCAGTGAATGATGGGTTTAATTTTAAAGGGGTTTGTGAGGTCTCACAAGACATGGGAACGTTTTATGTTTTATATATATCATGACAGACAGACAGAGAGCGGAGAAAAAGAGAGAGTTTTGACTTTTTGTGCTCCTTATCTTAAAAATGCAGACAAGGCAGCACATTCCTTTCAAAACACGTTCAGGAAAAGAGACATCAGAGCCACATTATAAAAAGTAAAAACAGTGACTACGTCCTGTAACAAGAGCAGGAACATCAGCAGAAGAAATGACAGCCCACCTTCCAAATAACTCACGCACAGATTAGGCGTTCCTCCCTCACAGAGCAAACCTTAAAGGTATCAGTGTCATACATGTACTACTCCTTAATGAAACCAGAAGCACTGAGGATCATTTAATGAGAATTACCTGACTTTAAACATTTCCAATTACTAATTCCTACTGAGCCGTGTAAAGAAACACAGCCGTAAGCACTTTGTATGAGTGATAATGGACAAAAGAGACATACAGTAAGCAGTCCTTAAGATTCATACATAACATGTCTCAGCACACTGAGAGGGAGTCACTTAAACATGATTTAGGACCTCTTGGTGTCCCGCTCTGTTTTTACTGCTTTCTCCCCCCCCACACTCTTTTTGCACATTCCTTCGCTCCATCTTTAGGTCCCTTTCCCTTTTCATACATTTTGCAGGCGTTTCATTTCTTGGCATGCAATGTGCCAGGATTAGAGCGAATGAATATAATGTACAGCCTCTCCAACGCTGACATGCACACATGGTTTTATTAGAGCTGTGGGACTGCTGTCACGGTGATGTGTTTGTTCGCAGAACAAAAAAAAAAAAAAAAAAGGTTGAAAGTTTCTGCCCCCTGCTGCAGCCAGAGAGAGGTTGACAGGAAGTAATGATTAACATATCAACTCATGTCATACAACTGTCTTATCTTCTCTTTTTATGCCTTCAATCACTAATTTCCCATTTCCTGTATTTTAGTTGCCTTTAAGACCGTTGTAAAATACACTGCAAATGATTAGAAGTTGGACGAGCAGCTTGTTGGTTAGCTGTATAAAGTAATGGCCAATTACCAGGCTGGATAATGACTGTAACCAGGGGAGTTTACTATACATTGGGCTATTGTTTAGTCCTGAAGAAGAATAATAGGGGATTTGACATTCAGCAGGACTGTGGTTATGTGCGAGAGTGACACATGTGGATGTGTGTGTATAGTAAGTGATGTTGTGTGTCTGAGGCTGTCTACTTGTTCAAAGGAAGCTAAGAGACTTTGTCCTTTGGTCGAGCTGCGCTCTCATCTCAGCCAGAGAGACCCACCCATCTGCACAGGCGCTTCATGACACCAGCTTGTAGTTTAAGTGTGTGTGAGAGCATTGCTGTGGACTTGTATGTGTGTGTGTGTGCCTTGATTGCATGAGCGTGTGTGCGCCATCGGTAAGGGATTAGGGATTAATTGCCTTCAGAGATAGACTTAACTGCTTGTTACATGAACTTTGTAAAGTTCTCACTTGGCCCCAGAGAGGAAAACAACTCTGTATAGTGAGGAGCAGAGGAAAGGTCTCTCTTGTTTTCCGTTCTTCAGAAGTGTGTGTGTTTCTTGTTTGTTTTTGTTGTTTTTGTCTGGAGTGTACTGCCACCAGAGGGTAAGAACTTCCATTGTTCTCACCTTTTGCTCCAAGACTGGTTAAAAAGAAATACTGTTTGTCTTTTATTCTCATTTGTTTTCTTATCATGTGTCTTTTATCTCAGTTTCACGCATTGTATTTTCTTTCTTTGGCTTCTGCCTAAAAAGTCTGGAGACTTAACAAAATGTTTGCTTTGTTAATGTAAAAATCAATATATTTAGATTGAAACTGGTATGTTGCCAAAGTGCTGAAATCCTCACATTTGAGAAGCTACAGCAAGTGTTCGGCATTTTTGCATACTTCTTATCAGAATGAAAATGTTTTCGAGTCATATTTTGTGGACAAATGCCATATGCACAAATTCAGATTACATTTTTGGTTATCTAAGTCCCCCTCTTAATGTTTCAATGAAATGTGTATGTATGTAAAATGTCCGCCACAATTTCTGACAAACCAGGTTTAAAATAACTTGTTTTTTCTGACTAACAGTTCAAAAAGATAAAAAAAATATTAAATTTAGGTATAAACTAGAGAAAAGCTGTACATTTCATATTCAACCAGCAAATGTTTGGCATGCATCGGAATTTTTGCTTATTCATTTCACGTCAGTTGATTGCAGCTCTACGTCTGTGTTCCTCTGTGGTTCTCCCCCTCTCCTCAGGTGAGTTGATACAGCCGGCAGCTGAAGGAGGAGACCTGAGAATGACAGAAACCAACCCCCCCAAGTCGGCTAAAAAGCCCCGCTGGACCTCCTTGGAGATCGGCCTCATTACTATTGTCTCCTTGCTCTTCATCGTCATTGTCGCCCTCATCATCCTCTTTGCTACACAGAAGACTGGTGAGTGCTGAAGAAAGGACAGATGACTCATGCTGATAAGAAAAAGTGAGAAATATCTGAGAACCTGAGTGGCTTCCGGAAAAAAAATCATTTTTTAAATCTTCACCAGACTCTGACAAAAACCAGAGTGATCAAAAAATGTGTCACGTAATTAAAAACTATTTTTGGGAGCCATTTAGCATAGAGCACATACTTTGGTTTTTCTTGCAACCACAATATTAAGTGAAACTTTCAGAAGCTCACCTTCTTTAAACTACGTTCATGGATTGACCCTCTCTTCATGCTGAGTTCATGGTTAATGGTAAGCATATAAAGGAGCGTGCTGAAGAAGAGCATTTTGTGCAGGTGAATAGAAGACATTCGAGCTGTGTGCCTTCAAAGCAGAGTGCAAAAGTACAACCACTGAGCCAGAAAGAAGAAGTCAGTGTGCAAAGGTCCTTTTTAGAGTTTCTTTTATATTCTCAGGTATTTTGTTCAGTTCAAACACTGTGCTATTTCACATGTCAGACTTTAGTGTAAATGATGAAGAATTGTGTGTTGCTGTAAATTATATCTCATATTATGAGAAATGGATCATTTAAAATGGACACAGTGAAATCGAACAGACACCCACACAGCCCCCTCCACACCATGGGAAAGCAATCCAATTGAACCTGCTTCAGATCTATGTCACAATATGAGTGTCACATGGGTTATCATAATCATTAATATCCTGACTATTGCTTTGCTTGAATTTCTTAAACCTTTTTTATCAAATGTATTAAACTGGTACATAAAGTTGACACAAAGTCTTTGTTACTTAAGATGATAAGAGTTTTGTTTATCCCAAGTATGACAGTAACATGGATAATAAACAGCTTTTTTATTAATATCCAGGTTAATTATTGACGACTGGAGCAACTGTGAAGTTCAGCAGGTCAATAATTCAGAAATCTGCCAAAAAAGCCAAGATAATTAAAACTAATGATACATACAAAACTGGTTGTGTTGACATATGCGTGTGTGCTGAGCTATTATTATCTTTTGCAGTCTTGTGATTGATAAATGTGCAAACTGCCATGTCAGGAAAACGAGAAGTTTAATGACTATGTGTATGTTTGCTCTCACCTGTGTGCACGTCACGTGCATCCTCACACATTGCACAAAGCAGTGTATTTAAGGTCATGTGACAAGTCACTGGTTTGTGTGTGTGCTTGTGTCAGTATATGTCATACTGAGTTTGATTAACAGTTTTGCACCTAAATTATTCCTGACAGAGTGAAAGCAACACTTCTAAGCTGTTTAAGGTTATATGTGTGGATGAGATAGAGATGAAAAGAAATGAAGAAAAGGAAGGAAAGTGGAAGGAGAGAATGAGCATTTGACATAATGACTGATGACTGCAAAAATCCCACTGAGTGATGATTTGTTTTGCATTTTCCTGTAGATGAAATCTGCACCACAGCTGACTGCACACAGTCAGGTAAGCACTGTGTGTTTGTTTGTTTGTGCGTTATCTTTATTGTCTCATTCTAAAGGCTTTGATTTTTCACAGAGGCGGACAGAAAAGGAAAATTTAGACTGCTGCAGAAGCCCAGGGATTTCAGACATACTTAGAGAAAATGGCCTCTTCAACTGTGAATATGTTGTGCCTCTAAGTCCAAACCGTGATCAAACAAACAGAAACAGTCCTGATCAGCAGAAACATGTTGCAAAGGATTATTGTTCTCGGATCACCTCCGAACAACTGTACAAGAGAAGTTGAGAAACTGGCAATGGGTATAAGCATGCATATACAGCTAAAGCAAATCCATTTGGGTCTACTATGTGTCCAAAGCCGTAGTATTTCAACATATCCGAACTTTTTTAACTTAACTGTAAGTGCTCCAGACCACATGACACTGCAGTAATGATCTGAGACCTTTTTGTATCACACAAAGGCATTTTTGGATAATTTTAAAGTCTATTGCTATAATTCCAGCATTTTCACTTTCTATTTTTTATCTATAAATCCCCCCCCCCATTCCCCCAGCCTCTTAAATATAACATTATTCATTAACACTTTATTTTCTCACTTTACTTCAGTAAAAACTGTTCATAGGAGAACAGTTTATTTTTCATGAAAAACACGGTCATAGTAGATTAAAGATTTATAACTCTACCTCTAGTTTCCAGCAACAGACGCCAATTCATTTCCGATGCATTTTTGGGGAACCAATGTCCCAATTCAGTCAGATTTGACAGACAGCCTTGTCACAAGAGATCTTTCAGCTGCCTCATGTAATTTAATTGCAGCTCAAAAAAACTGAGCACATTTCCAGCACTGATGCCGAACTGAACCCAATTACTGCCATTATGCTTTTATACTTATTTTTCCACAGGTCTTAGTATGATGTTTTAATGAATAGTTAATTGCATTTTCAAGATGTGTTTTTGGGGTACAGTATATTTTCACCCCCGTTACTAGACAAGCATGAAATATTTTGGCAAGCATCCAAGGTGGTCCATAAAAGACTGTTAGTTAAATTAACTTGTTAAATGAGAAGATCTATCCACACCCGTATCTGTCCATGATCACAGCTAGTCTGGCTCTGTCTGAAAGTAACAAAACCTCTCAAGCTCACCAATTTTGGTGGTTTCTCCTACACAATGCACAGCTTGTTACCATTCCCAGGTTGAAAAATACAGGTGCCAGTGGTGTTCAGTTAGTTGCCATGTGAAACTTCACCGCTAGATGCCACCAAATCCTACACACTGGTCTTTTAATGTAACACATTATATCTAGTTTGTGTAATGCGTATTAGTGGAAGTTTGAAATAGACACACTGTTGTGTTATGCTGGTTATGTGATTTCTTGGCCAGTGACTGCTGGTGCAGTGACTTCCAGGAGTCTTTGCTGGTTTCCTAGCGACCTCAAAGTGATTACAACACTGGTCAAGAAATAGTCCAGCACATAACCTCCAGTAATATCCAGTGTCAGTTTTACATTTCAGTTTTTGTACGGATTAAATAACCTATAATGTTTGGAATACAAAAACTGGGCTTTAGAGAAGCTGGTAGGTGGATTTTGTTACCTTTGCCTAAAGCCTGTAAGCATTTTCCAGTGTTAATGCTAAGCTAAGCCAACTGGGTGCTGGCTGTAGCCTTATACTGAAAAGATGCATATCCAAGTGGTATTGAAATTCTTGTTTATTTCTTGGGAAGGAAGCAAATAAGCATATTTCCCAAAATGTCAAGCTATGGTGAAATGGTAGACATCTCTGACCTTCTTTACTTGTTGAACACGTTGTACAGATGTCTGTGTAATTAGTTAGAGCGCAATTCAGGTTAATTTCATATCAAACTCCCTACATCCTGCAGTGTATTACAGTTTCTTCAGGTAAGAATTTCCTCCAGGTCTCAGAGCTTTGTTTCTTCTCCGTCCGAGCAGCGTCTCGTCTCATTGAGAACATGGATGCTAGCGTGGACCCTTGTGACAACTTCTACCAGTACGCCTGTGGAGGCTGGCTGAAAAAGAACATCATCCCTGAGACCAGCTCTAGATACAGCACCTTTGACATCTTACGAGACGAACTGGAGGTCATTCTCAAAGGTCAGACACCTACACACACACACACACACACACACACACACACACACACACACACACACACACACACACACAACAACAAAAACAAAAATCCACATACAGAAAGACCACAACACAGACAGACAGAGGGACTAGATTGTGAAAGACATGGAGACCTGTGTTGCCTGTTTTCATTAGAGTAATAACACTGTATTTAGTCCATGATTAAGAGTTGTAAAGCAACCTAGAACAGTATGTCTTTTTCAGTCCACTTGCTCTAAGAGAGAGAACAGCTTGATTCAGTTGCTCGAGAATATGAGGACTGTGCTTCAGGGACTGCAGCTCTATAGATATCACAGATGCCATGGGAGTTTGGCTTCAGTACTACCATGTGAGCTGAGAGTTTGTCAACAGAGCTGGCGTTATCAATGTGTGTGTGCGTACGTGCATGTGTGGACATTGCTTTCAGGCTATTTTCTGAAGACGTCACCACACGGTGAGCAAAAACATTTTTAATAGCGAGTTTGTGCATCTCAGGTGTTTTGCCAGCTTTTAGCAAGCATTAGAGTGTTGTTAGTGTCCTTGTGGCATGGTTGATATAGAGAGGGTCAAGTTGCGCTGTGTATGTGTGAGCACTTGGATGGATTGTGTGTGCGTGTGTGTGTATGTGAGGGTCCATACTTCACCTCAACTTGTCTGTGAGAAGGCCAGTCGGATTCTGGGTGCTAAATCTTCAAGGGGCACAAACTTTCCATGGACAACCGAAACTCTTCATCTACCATAAATTTACAATTTATTTGCCAGTCCCTTCCACTATAATAAAGACAGTGCAGATTGGCTGCAGGAGAAACAGAGTGATTCAGAGGGGCAAGAAAGATTGATCCTTAGTGGGAAAGGAAAACCAGGGTTTAAAGTGCAGCCTGTCTTGTGGACCCAGATAATTTGTACCAGCCCCAAGCACTTTATCTGTCCGATCTAGATGGAAAAACACGCAGTCTTGTGTGTTGGGGAACTTTTTTTTAATTTTTTTTTTTTATCCTTTGCTATCTGCCCTTGTGTTGTCCATTGCTGATTATTTTTCATAAAGATAAACCTGAACGTGGGTGGTAATGGATAGATTTGTTTATTCAACCCAAAATGAAATATTCATGCTATTTAGTTTTTCACAACAATTGGTCACAACAGGATATGGGACCACCAACTAAATGGTAACTTTTTTTAAACCTTTTTCTTTTTGCGTACTAACCACTCTCACTGTCCTCACTGTCCTTTTACCTCTCGATAAACACCTTTTTACAGATCATTATATAACATTCATTAGGGTTTAGAGGTTGGCTGTAATGTAGTCAGCATTAATTTCTATACCTTTTCATTCCAGGGAGCTTGTAGTGGTAAAAGTACATCTTTATTCACTCAGTGTAGTGTAATTATAACAGTATTATTGAAATTCTGGCTCTTATTCCTTCAGAATCGTTTGCTTGACCATGAGATGAGTACTGCAGAGATTTCAAATTAGATTTCTAACAAACAGGATATTGGTATAGGATTGTAGGAAAATGCATGTAGGCAGCTGTAGAAACTGTCAGAAAATATTAACTTTTAGTTGCATTGTACATTGCTTTATAACAACTTATAGCCCATCTGTTCAGTTCTGCTCTGCTCTCTTCTCCTCTCTTCTCCATGGCGGTCTTAACACCCATAAAAATCACACACAGGGGGGAAAAAGGAAAATAAACATTGCTTGACAAGGGCTCATTTTAGGCATTTTGTTACTGTATGTGCACTTACGTACATAGCATGTCTCTGTTTGAGCGTGTGGCGTCATTTCACACTTTGTTGTATTTTTACTGCGATTGAGCAGAGGTCTTATGGTGATATTTGTTGCCTGTCAGAAAACAGAGGGAGAGAGAGAGAGAGAGAGAGAGAGAGAGAGAGAGAGAGAGAGAGAGAGGAGAGAGGAAAAAAGTCCCAAAAAATACATGTCTGCAACTGATGATGAAATACTGCAAAAAGTTTATATTTTAGAATCATTATTTTGTTTGCTGTTTCATTATTATGCTGCAGTTGCCACAGAAAGGAATGGAGCAGCCAAATAATGTGTCCTAATCATTCAACAGCTTAAATCCCCTCCAACCGTCAGTGTTGTGCTCATTGCTTCAGGGTGGCTGGCTTACCAGTCAGAGCTGGAATGTCTCAGACTGTACACATGTTCAGATTTACTTTGTGTGTAGATCTGTACGTGTTGTAGAGAGGAATAAAAAGAGAACGCAGTGTATTTAAGATTATATCTGAGGCCTGTCGGCAATCTGCTTTCTTGAGGATTTACAGTAGCAACCTGCTAGCTTTCTGAGTTTCATTTTTCTAAATGACTTATGCATATCGAGATGTAGGCCTCGGCAGTGTGAAGCCTCAGCAGAGATGTGACCTCTACTCTGGAGGTGACATCAAACATGCAACCTCTGATCCTGGGTCTGGCTGCTGCTGCCGGCTTGGATACCACCGCCCGCTGATGGACAGATCCTTTTCCTGTCAACAGCTTTAGGGGCCTGGAAACACCTGGACACTGCAGCGCTCTAGGCTGCATGACAGCAATAAAAAAAGACTGCGTGCATGTGTATGTGTGTGAATTTGTGGTTGCTTGTAAATGCCTTGGATTGTTCTCTACTGCTGTAAAAGGCCATAAATGATTCATAATGAGGATCTGCACGCTGATTGTGACCACAGCTTTGTGTGTATGTGAGTGTGCACGGTTGTGTGAGTGTTTTTTCCATCTCCCCCTACTCAGGTGTGGCATACTGTGCAATAATTTGCCCAATTGACCGTGAGCGTTTTAATTACTACCTTGTTTGTGTCAGGAAGAGGAAGGGGAGAAATACAACAGGCAGAGGAGGCTGAAAGAATGGCTTTCATCCAAAAAAAAAAAAATACTGTGAAATAAAGGACATAAGTGATATGGAGGAAAAGATAGGTGAGATACATATGATCGGGGACAGGGGAGGGTAGAGTGAGGAAGAGCACTGTAACCAGAGGATGATGGTGTATTGAGAAAAGCTTTAAGGGGAAGGTCAGGAAATGTGAAACAGCATGTGGTCGTCATCTCCAAACTGTGTGCGTACGTCCATCTGTGCACGAGTATGTGCGTTTGACTTTTATGAGTGTGAGCAAACTGCTGCTCTTCTGTATTATATGAGGTGTTTCTCACATGACTCCAGGTCTAAAGCTCAATGCACATTGCACTCATTGAGATAATTCTACCCAGAGGCATGCAACACACAAACCAGTTCATGTTTTTTGTAGAATGTGTCATCACCCAGAGTGTCAAAGATTGTGAGATGTTTGTCAGGCCTGCTGCTAACATATGTACCTAAGAGACTGAATGTGTTTTTCCTGTGATAATAATTGAAAACCAACCTTATGTCAAACAATACTGGCATACAATGAGACTTTAGAAATAAATGGTTTGTTCATATGACCTCCCTGATATCAAAATTCCAGTCAGAACCATTGCACAACATCATAAATACTGTATTTCTCATAAACATATCAAATAAAGATAGCAGACCAGAGGTTTGTGGCCAAGTAAAACAATAGGAATATTGATGCACTAATTCTTGGCCAAGAAAAATATATTTAATACAACTCCTGAATTGAACATGTTTTTCCCAGCTAAGATGCTGAATAACAGGAAAGCGTTTAGACCTCCACTAAGGTAATAATCTTCCCTGTTAGCTGTCTCAAAGCCAACACAGTACTGGGTTATTGACAACACTTTTATATACAGTAAGACTAGCCAAGGGACTGACAACGTGGTGCTGAGTAAATTACAGCATTTCTATATGGATAAAGTTTGGCTTGAAGCATGAAGGCAGGGCTAGTGAAAAGTATATATATATATACCGTATGCTACATTAAAAGACACTGTTGAGCCTGATGTTTCAAGAAAATACAGCTGTGATTTTAGCTGACACCATAGTTGAGATGACCTGTCATCTTCTTCTTTTAATATTATCCTCAATTTTCCTGAGCCCGGAAACCCAGGAGTCATTGTCTAGAGACAGGGTTATGGAGCAGCAGCCATCAGGTGTGCGGATGAAAGCTGTAGCAAATTCAGACTGATTTTTCATTGCCATTGGGAACAAAACTGAATGCCATTGTTGCAAAATCCATCTAAAATTGATCTAGAATCTTGAAGTGAAGCGAAATAGTAAACTGTAGCTTCTGGTGCTTTAGTCAGCATTAGATTCTAACACTGTCTATACGGAAAATAAACAGGACTTTTGCTGCGGACGCCCTAAATCATGGATCTCAAATTGCTGGCCAGGGGTCCATTTCGGGTCCTCCACCCCCCTCCCTTCGCGACATGATGTCAATAATATAATACTGCTTGCAAAATTTTTAGATTTTTTCTAGTTGTTTCATATCAATTTAAACTACCCCTTATACAATTAAAATAAATGTGTAACATTTAGAATTATCTGTTGGCAGAAATTGAATATAATAATCATAGGTCTGCATAATCACTTGAAAATAAGAATTGTTATATTTTTATTGCCTTAGTATGAGCAGTTTTTATTGTTTTTATTAGGTAACGAGTTGCCTTCCGTAGAGACTGCCATGTTGAACCACCTTGTTTCTACAGTAGCTCAGAACGGACAAACCAAAGACTGGCTGTAGATAGGGCAGTTTGTGTTTTTTGGGCATTTTGTGGCCACCATAGTTTCTCCTTTATGCTTGGCATGGGAGGGTGAAGCAAAGTAGTTTCAATCTGCAACTACACTGCTAGATGCCAATAAATCTTACTCACTGGACCTATTATAAATTTTATTTTATTAAATATTTTTAGAATATTGAATTTTGTTGTTGTACTTGAACATTGAAGTGGCCCTCCTATGAGATGGCAGTACCATATTTGAGTTTGAGACCCCTGCCCTAAATAGTTCCTCTCATTTTGCAACACCAAAATTCCAATCTCCAATACAACACCAACACACACTCAATGACCTGAAAAATAAAATAAAAATAAATGAAAACCTGCATTTCAAATAAAAGAAAACAATGATGATCTATTAATACCTAAATAAAGCTATTTACATCTTAATTAAGATAGTTGATTGAGCTTCTAGTGGGCTGTCGTACTCATTTGTTTTAACTTTTAAAGTTGTGGAAGTTTCAAATGTCTTTATTACCACTGCTTAAACCAGTGAGTGTAGAAAAATTAGTCTTTTAGGTTTTTATTACACACAGAACAGTAAACATTTTGTTTCTAATTGAGACGCGTCACTCTTATGATGTGTCAACTCTTTTTGTTTCAACTTGTTTTACATCTTCTGTGTGTAATATACCCTAAAGAAATGCTTCATAATGATAAATTGGAAGCAAAACTCTTACTGAAAACACTGCAAGTGAAATGCCTTGTGGAATGAGAGGCAGTCAAGGATAAAATGGCAATTCAGCGAGCAGAAACTCAAAATTCAGATTCTGTATCACGCTGAGTGGTTTGGTTCAAATTGACGTGATGTCTCAAACAAACATCAGGTGGCACAAAATCCATTCTCAAATAAATCCAAACACGCGCACACGGGGTGAGAGAGCCAGTATGTGTGTGTTTGTGTGTGTGTGTGAGAGAGAGAGTGAGAGGGTAAGCCTTTGCTGTGGTTAAACATTAGCACCAGGCAGTCAGTAATCCAATCACACACACATGATCTGTGCCCTTTTGCAGGAAGCGCCCTGTGAAGGGTCCCTATCTCAGGACTTCATTAAGATTAAATGAGCACATAAATAGTGCACACATGGTAATGAGAAAATGGCAGGATTAGAAAAATGAAAGGGTAGAAAGAGGCTGAAATGAAACGCAGTCATGCAACGAGTGAAACAAGTAGAAATAAGGGAAAGAAGGAGCAAATTAAAATTATTTTAAATCAAATTCAGAATATTTTGGTTGAATGACACTCGAATGGATCTTCTATAAATTATGCAATAACAGAACAGGTGTTTTTTAAGATGATCTGATGTGACATTAAATGAAATTAGAGATTAAAAAAGGGGATAGACATTGTCTTCATACGCTAACTGCTTTATTTCACTCTGTTGTGATTGGTCTGTCAGTAAGTCCTGAAAATTAAAAAGAAAGGAAGAAAGAAAAATCTAATTTTCTTCATCTTTATCTTTTGTTCCCAACTCACAGTGACATGAGTGATGTCTTACTGGACTCAGGGGAGAATTTCCTCAGATAACTGCGTAATTTAAGATCCATCCTCTTTCCTTTATTGATTCTGGAGTTGCATTGAGATGTGCAGTTTGTGCATATTTATTCATCCAGATGCAACATTTATAAGAGATAACTTTTTGTGTGACAGGGAATACTAAAGCCACGTTTATAGGGTTTCCTTTAAATTTAGTGATGATATTTTTATTTCATAATTTTAGCTTATTCACTTTTTTGCCAAGAGTTGTGAAATGGGAAAAATCTGCCTACCAGCACCTCTAGCTCTCTAATTAGCACATTGTTTCTTATTATCTTAATCTCTAAAAAAAGATAACTGAAAAAAAAAAAAAAAAACGTATGTCAAAAAGACAATTTGCCATTTTATTGGGTTTATGTGCTGGATTATTTCTTGGCAGTAACTTCTTTGGTTGCTTGGCAAGAAATAGTCCAGCAAATGTGAATTGTTGATTTAACGCTTGTTTTTTGTACAGATTAAACAAATGTGACAGATGTGTGTGTTAAAAAGTGAACTTTAGAGGTGCTGGTAGGTGTTATCCTTGGCCAGAGACAAGCTTGCTGTGTCCAGTCTTTGTGCTAAGCAAAGCTAACAGGCTGCTGGATTGAACGTACACATATGAGAGTGGTCTCAATCTATTCATCACACTCTGTGAAAGAAAGTCACTAAGCCTATATTTTAAAATGTTGAACTAAGCTTAAATCACATTCTTAGTTAATTTATGTTCATTTAATGTAGTTTCAATAATGTAAACCGGTGTTCTTCTCTTATCTGAATACAAATCCCTTTGTTTTACAGAACATATTTTTAAGTGGTATTTTATTGTAGCTCATCGTGTTGCCAAAGAAGCAGGATTAGTTTCAGGCAGGTTGGGTTAGACATGCTTGCTTCATGGTTTTTTACTGGGAAGCTAAAAACCATGTGCAAACTTAACTTAATCCAAGTTTTTGTATTCTTTAAAGAACAAAGGAGCGTGAGCAATTGATACAGTCATTGTGGCTGACATTGTACTGAAGCACACACTGTTTGCACCACTTGGCTAGGAAAGGTGGATATCAGCAAGTGGCAGCTTTGCGATTGTACAAAAGAGACACATTCTGAAATGCTAAGCTAGCTGATGCATTATAACAGTTTCAAACTTCAAAAACCTGAGGAATGGAGTACTTAGAATGAATCAGCGGCACTTCTTGCATACAAATGCAATAATGTGTGATATAAATGGAAATGTACATAGATTTAGAATGACAAACATTTTTACGTGTGAAATTCATAAATGCTTCTGACTGCCTTCGTGCAATTTCAACACCCCGTTTATTCCTTTTCTTCTAAATTACTATAAACAATAGCAAAAGCAATCAGGAAGTCAAACATTTACGTACGTTTTGCATGTACTGGAGGTTTATCACATGTGCTCTAAAGAGATTTACATCATTCATTATTCATCATATAGTCCTTATACACCAAAGAGATACATTGTAGATCCTAAGCACTCTACAAAACAAACCACAGACATTGTGACATTTTTAAAAGGAAAAATATGTTGCACACAAAACCAGGAACTAATTTTCCAGGGCCAAGAACAAACTGTCTGTCCCAAAGTAAAAGATAGTGTCTCTTAAATAATAATTATGCCCTTTTGTTGTTGTTTTACAGTTTAAGTAGTGCTGTGCTACTGAGCCATGACCAGGTGAGGATTTCATGGGATCAGATCAAAACCTTTCCAAATCTCTCCAGACAGAAAGAACTGTGTGCCGTAAATCAAGAACTAACTTGCTGAATTGACTCAGTTAGGATTTGAGCTCCCAATCTTTGACGGGACAAGTCCTTTCTAAAGATTTCTTTAAAAAGCACTGTGCCACCCAGGAGCCCCAACATACTAATTCCTACATACATGAGGTCTTTGTAGCTATAGAGTGCAATTGTGCAGACACAGTTTTTATATGCTTGGTACTGAATGACAAATCATCAGATGAAGTTGAGCTAAAGTTTGAGATGTCTGTTGAGTAGGTGTGAGGTTTTCTTTCTTTCGTTTGAGTAGGACAGAGGGCACAGAGTTTCTAACACTATCACAACAAAACACTTGCATTCACCATGGTGGTTTCAGAAAAACACCAAAATAACCATGTGGGTGTTAGGTAGAACCTTGATGATCTGAACATTTATTTAAGCTCATTCTCATGTTCAATGTTGCTGAAAAGCGACAGCGAATCTGGAGGGAATGGTTACAGTTTAAATCTACGATATGCCACTTTGTGCCTTGAGGCAGCGCAGGGAAAGTGTATTGTTGGTCCCATTCGCTTCCGACTCAGTTGAGCAAGTTTACGCCCCGACACTTATCACTCATTTTGATTAGCTGTCTACCTAGAAATGCTATCTAGCCTCAGGGTGACCTAACTGGCGTCCATATGCCCACAACAGGTGTTGAAGAGGCAATGAACACAGGCAATAAAGCAAGCAATGCTGTTCACTCTTGTTTTCAAATGGCCCTTTCCTGCCACACCTTCAGCTTTGTCGCTCCTCAATTTTTTCCACCTTTTTTGCAGTGTGACTTCCCTGCTCTCAGGTCACTAGCTTTACCTTGATTACTGTTGCCATGCTGAGAATACAATTTACAGCAACCAGGAATTAAAATATGCATTGCATATTGCCACTTCAATTTGTGGTTTATATGACAGGGTTAACCTCTACAACAAATGACCCAAATGACTGTAATCACCAAAATGAAATGATTAATTGCACTGCAACTAATAAATTGTTTGTGTTTAATAATTTATTCAGTCATTTAAAGCAAAGATTGGCCATGCGCAACAAGGGAACATTTTGTGATCATGTATTGGTGTACTAGCTATTGTTATGCATCTGATGATATAACGTTTGAGCTTTTAAAAGTTGGCAAGTGGACTTGAATATTTGAATTGAATTGCTAGAATAAAGAAAAGTCTGTAGCAGAAAATCAACATTAAAGCTTTATTTGTTCTCTGAATAGATTATTTCATTTGCATATTGGGCAGTTTTGTCATACTAACAAAAGCTGTTATCTGAAATTCTTAATTAGTTAGCTACTGTACACGTTGTAAAAAAAAAATTATTAAATTGACATCTGTTTGTGCATTTCCCTTTAAATGCATTCATACCATGTTTTCTTTGTCACCCTATGAATATTTATCACTGGTTGCTATGTATTGCCATGTTTTGAAGTCATCACTTTATTTTTGTTGGCGCCTTCTGACACAGGGACAGACAACATGCCTTAATTAACATGATAAAATGCATCTGGACGACAGCTGGATTCTATTTTGAATCCACAAAGATGAAAAAAAAAACCTCTGAATTGTACCTGAGGTTATTTACACTCCTCCTTCTGCCTTTTCTTTGTACACTCATTCTTTTAAGTCTGTGTTTCTGTCCTTCATGCTTGCTCTGTTTCTCTGCTCTGTTTGTAGGTGTCCTTGAAAAAACAGTGGAGGGGGAAGCCGCTGCTCTCACCAAGGCTAAGACCCTTTACAAGTCCTGTACCAATGAGAGTGCGTCACCAGGCATCAGATGTCAACAGACTATTCCTTTTTGTATCTTCTGTTGTCCTAAAGTGAACATTTTTCTTACTGTCATCAAAGGTTATGTGTCCCTCATTCAGTTGATTGCATTGCCAAGCTATCATAAAAATTTTTTAACAACTTACGTACTTATTTATTTCCAATTATTAGTTTTAAAAGGAAGAATTACTGTCTTTCAGATTTACAGCATTACGCGATGCAAATAAATGCTTTCTTCAAAAGCATTTTGGCTCAGAGCTCACATCAATAAACTTCTCAAATGCATTCCAAATTTGCATAGATTAATTATACTTGATAAGAAGGACAATATATAAATAATAACAAGGTTTCTTTTTTTTTTTTTTAATTAATTTTCTGAATTTTGATTGGTATAGAATAAATGTATCCACTATTAAAAGCAGATTGTTGCTTGTTTGTATCTATGCTTCATTTAAGGTTTAATTGAGCTCAGAGGAGGGGCTCCTTTGCTAGACATGCTGCCTGATGTGTTTGAGTGGCCCATAGCTGTGGACAACTGGGAGACCAACTATGGTAAACTATTCTTTTCCTCTGTCACACACAGCAGATTTCACGTACAGGCAGTTCTTTCTTTTTTACCTTCTCCTCCTTCTCTGTTCTTCAGGCAAAACGTGGAGGCTGGAGGACGTCGTTGCCAAGCTGAATGAGAAATATGGAACTCAACTTTTGGTTAACTTTTTTGTCGGCACCGATGACAGGGACTCCAATTCACACATCATTCATGTAGGTGTGCAACTGTAGCTAGAAAATCCTTGTATGTCCTCTGTTTCATTGACCCACATTCACACAGACACTCCCACATGATATCCATCCAGCTTGAAAATAACCACCCACGAATTTCCTCAAATCTGATTTCTTTGGCTTATATAAATAAATTCTTGTTTTCCTCTTTGCCAGTTTGACCAGCAGACAAGCCTCGGCCTCTTGTCCAGAGATTACTACGCTTGCACCGGACCTTATGCAGAGGTACAGTAGACTTAGGATTGTACATGTACACACATGCAGATGCACACACGCTTGTAATATAATTAAGGCTTTCAACCGATGCATGATGAAAACAGCTCCATGTGTTCATTTGGCCACTGCCACTGCCACTGAGTCTGGGTTTCATGTCCCCTGGAGTTTGTTCCAGGAAACATGATGCCCAACAAATGATGAGGGCATCAGTTGAAACATCAGTACCTTAATTAACTTTGTTTGCACGGTTCTATGCGTTTGCAAGCATGTGTGTACACGATAAATAAAACTGCACTATGAGGCAGTAAGTGATGATTAAAATCAAAGAGGCAAAACAGAACAGATTTGGTTGTGTCTCAATCCAGACCAGATGTGTGTGACTAGAGCAGACATCCTCTGCTCTGGTTTTACTTTACAGTTTACCATGGACTCTTGATTGATATGCAGAAACAGCACTCAACCGCACTTAGCTTGAGGCAGGCTGAGTGTGTGTGTGTGTTTGTGTGTCTCTGTGCATAAGTACACACTGTTGCCTCTGGTTTTTGGTCATTGGTTAAATTCAAACCAGTGACCGCCTTTCTTTCCTGTTTTACAGGCATGTCGGGCCTACGAGCAGTTCATGATTGACCTGGCTAAGCTAATCCGCACTGACCGAAAACTGACCATCAATGAAACTCGCATCAGAGAGGAGGTGACACGAGTTATGGACCTGGAGAGGGACATTGCCAACGTAAGCATGCATTCACGCTTTTTCATTTTCCCAGCAGAAGCCTAAATAGTTCCCTAAAGGAGCGCTCCTTCATTTTTTGAGAAACTGAAAGAAGAAAACCATGTTTTCTTAGCAGCTATGCATACCTTATCTCCTGTCTCAGCTTCACACAACAGGAGGATTTTGTGAGCAAACGACTTCTGACAGTATGACCTTCCACTCCTCAGTTGGTAGCCCAGACCTCTCTCCTCTCTGTGTGCTTGTGGCTCCAGTTGGGAGCAGCTGCTGTGTAAAACAAGCCGTTAACCAGCCTGATCTGAACACAACAACTTTTCTCAGACATCAACAGGTTTCCACAATCCACGCTTGTCATTCTGTGCTGGTCCGCTCTGCTCACTGCCATGCTTCACTTCCCCTCCACTCGGCTGCTGGCTTTTACAAGGCAGTCACCGTTCGACATTTACAGACCTGAAGCCTCCTGGGACTCCAAATATGTTTGTTGTTGCTGGACCTGCACTGCAATTTTATGCATGTGTCAGGATTCTGGAGGGTTATGTTGTGACAGCATTCTTGATTTTCAACTTCTCTCTCTGGTATTCTCCAAGGCTACTGATACTCCAGAGGACCGTAACAACCCAGTATTGCTTTACAACAAGATGGAACTTGGTGATCTGAACGCGAACTTCACCCTTGAGGTGGAATCACAGGTAAAAATAGACTCCTCATCTGTCAGAATTTGTTGTTTCTTTTTCACCGTCCTTCCTCTTTCTCATGTTCCTTTTCTCTTCCTTAAGGTATTTGACTGGAGTTACTTCACAGCCAAGATAATGGACACAGTCAACATCAGTGTTCCTGACACAGAGAAGGTCATAAACTACTCCCCCAACTATTACAGAAAACTCAACCTTATCTTGGCCAGATACACCAAGAGGTCTGTTTGTATGAGTCTGTAGTTGTGTTCGTGTATAGTTGCATGTTTGTGAGTTTGTGGAGGCAGGAGTGCACTGTATGCAAAACAGCTCATTACTGATATATCATAGCTTTGCATGTAAGAGAGTTTGTTTTTAACATTCTTCCGCTCCTCACAGGGATCTGCAGAACTACATGGTGTGGCGTTTTGCTATGAACATGGTAGTGGGCCTGAGCAGAGCTTACAGGGACACCAGGAAAGCCTTCCGCAAGGTACCAGGACCCTCACCCTGAATCTGTCTGTAGATAAAGAGCCAATTAATCCTGAATTTTAAAGGTGGATACCAATCAGAGTGTTAAAGAGCAAGATGTATGAGATAATATTTGGTTTTTAACATAAACACTAAGCAAGACATTTTTCAGTCGTACAAGACAGTAAAACAAAAATGTTAACCTTGTTGTGATGCTAGATGAAAACTCAAGGTATCACCAATATCAGTTGGATTCATCTTCTGGGGACCATGAATGTCTGCACAAAATCCCATGGCAATCCATAAAATAGTCAAGATATTTTATTCTGGACCAAAGAGGTGGGACATTGTTGCCATCCCTAGAGCCATTCTGCCAGCTTGGATAAAATAAACTTGTTGGTGCCTTGATGAAAAAACTTTATAAGACTGTTTCTAAATGATTTGGGAAAAAAAAAAATGAAATGAAAAGTTTCTTGCTACTTACGTTATTGGCCAAGATATTGAAACAAGGTATCCACTGGGCTCTAATAAACACTAGATGTTCACACTGCATTCATATTCTTTCTAATCCTAACCCGCTTCTTAATCTAATCATTTCCCCTCTGCCCTATTTCTTATAGTCCTAAGTGTAATGATAATGCAAAATAGAGGCACAAATAAAGAATTGCCCTGAGCCTCTTTACCCAATGTGCTGAGTGGTTTATCCTGTATCTCTGATTGATCGGTGCCCCATACTTTCCCTGCAGGCTCTGTCTGGTACAACATCAGAGGCAGCTGTGTGGCGACAGTGTGCGCTTTACGTCAACAACAACTTGGACAATGCTGTAGGACGACTGTATGTGCAGGAGGCCTTCTCTGAAAAGAGCAAAGAACTGGTCAGTAGTTTCTATTATTAGATTACATTTGTTTTAATGCAGGAAAAAAGCTATTATAAATCTAATTGAGAGGAATTCATTATTAAACATAGTACATTCTGTGTAATACATACTTGAATGCTATGTGTGCTTGTTTATTGACACCTGGTTCTGAATCACACAAATGAATCTGCATGGAATGTGTTTTCACAAAAACAGTGTTTATATATTCAGTTATACATACACACAGTATGACAACATGAGGTTTTTTGAGTGTATTTTTGTTTCTCACCTGTGTTCTCTCACCTATGTTTTTGTCACCTTTGTGTGTTTCCACCACAGTACTGTATTTTTTTGCATGCACCCATTGAAAGCAGCTGAACAAGGTGTTGTTATCATGCCTACACCACCCACACTGTAATGTGTGTATGTGAGTCAGATTGTGTGTGTGACAGTGTACATCTGTCGTAATGCTGAGTGTCTCACACGCCGTAAATCTCTGTCATCTTCTGGATTTTTGCCCATTTTAGCATGTGGATGTGTCTGTGTGGGCAAATGTGTCTGCGTGCGTGTTTTTCTGCATGAAATATCAATATATCAACAGTGCTGAGTTAACCTGCAGCTGGCACACATACTGCACTGCTAACATACCAACCTACTCTTAGCCACAGAGATGTATTTCAGATATGGTCATCAGTGGCTTGCAACTGATTACATTTACACAAGTACTGTATTTGATTAAAGTCTAGAGGTACTTATAATCTACTTGTGCACTTGCTACTTAATACTTACACTACTTTTCTAAGTTTCAGGACCATGTTTTAGTCCATTACATTTAAATGACAGCTAAAGTTACTAGTTACTAATAAAGATTTTACATACAAATATGATCAACCTTTCTTATAGATTACACCACCCAACAGTACATAAAATAGTTAAAGTTAGACCAATGACCAACTATAACATGTTTACTCAAGGATTATATATGCAAGACTTGTACTTGTTTATTATTTGGAGACAGGGTAAATTAAATAAAATGATATAACAGTGGATAAGTGCCCATAATGGCAAACCATTACATTTCTAATGCAACTATCATGATACACATAGATTTAGTAGACATACCATTGTATATAAAGCTTGCATTTGACCCATGTAAATTATTTCAAATGCAAACAGACACGCATGCATGCGACCACAGACATCTATGCATGCACAAAACACAAACCTACTTGCGCACACACATGCTGTATGCTAAAAGGTTTTCGGAACAGCCTCATCAGTAGTGGTCCCTGCTGGTTTGTGGCTAACCACAGCGTGTTGTCCGAGTGGTCATGCAGTGTGTTAGCGAGGGGTCTGCTGATATGATGAGACACAGGAATGCCTCTGTCAGCTCACTGTGGTCTCAGAGCACAACTGTGGTTAGAGGGATATGGGAGTGTGACCTTCGCTGTCACTGCAGTTTTTACATTTTTCTCTTCCTACTTACATTCAATATATATTATTTTTTAGGTATTTTTTGTGAATTATTCTAATCTTGTTTTCATTTTGTTTGTGGACAAAATTTGGTACATGGTGTACACAGCATTATGCCATCGTGGTGGCGTCAGTCAGTCTCTCTGCGTGTAGGCGTGTGCTTGTAAATACTGTAACTCAAGAGCAATACATTATAGAAAGGTTGAACTTACACCACAGGTTCCCATTGAAAACTGAGCTTTTGGATGTGGATTTTGGAGCACCTTGCTGTGTCATTTTGCATATAAAAATAGAACATCTCATTATCTTGACACCACTACAGTGTACCAATGTGTTATGTGAGGACAAGCTGACATATAAATATTTGCTTAGTTACATGTTTATCTGCTTAATAAGAATAGCATAACTTCTTTGTTTAATCTATTGTAGTGACGGGGAAACATTAAACTCAAGTACCTCATATATAATTTAGAGTTATATGTCTCTGCATTATTTCAGTAACACAAAATTCAACCCAAAAATACTGGGTGCGTCTATAAGTAAATTTAAATATTTAAAGGTCTTAAGATGCAGAATGTAAATTGGTAGCATTATCAATAATGCATCTGCAAATTTGCAGCCAGTACAGACATCCACTTTAGAGAATTTTGAGACAACTAAATGAGACTTCCGTAAAGAAGTAGAAATGTCCTCATAACTTTTTTGCAAGCCATCATTTTAATTGTCACTTTTAGTCACTAAACATGTTGTAATTCTGACTGCCATGGCCTCACTTCCTTTTACTCATACATTAAAATAGTCGATGATCTTTTTGTTATTACTCCATCTGTCATACTGATCACGCAAACATGATTAAACCGGTAATATTACTCAAGGTCATCAGACTCCTGACACAGACACAGAGGGAGTGTAACCCCAAGTGCTTCTACATTGATATGTGACTGTGTAATAATGAGGCCTGATTCAGGGATGTGCGTTTTTATGACTGTGTTGCACAATATGGTGCAAGATTGTGTGCTTTCTACTTGATCCTCTCTGCAGGCCTTGTGAGAAAACTCCCACACTATGGACAATTTGCACTGACCGATAGTGTTTAGGGCTTTTCATTATATAGATTTGATTGTCATATATCGGTGACACATTTGTGACTGTTGTCTCTTTCTCATTGTGTGTGTGTGTGTGTGTGTGTGTGTGTGTGTATGTTTGTTTGTGTTCGGGGGGGCATCAGATGGAAGAGATGATTAAAGACATTCGGCAAGTGTTTATTAGTAACCTTGATGACCTGACCTGGATGGATGCAGAGACGAAGAAGGCAGCTGAGGAGAAGGTATTGGTTATAATAACCTGTCTATTGTGTTGTGTTGTATTATATTCTGTCCTTTAGGATATGTGATGACTAAAATACTTGTTTGTCAAATTTTCTCTTCTACTTTTCCGTAGGCCCGAGCTATCCGGGAACGGATCGGTTATTCTGACAACATTATGGATGATGAATACCTTAACAATGAGTACAAAGATGTGAGTGTCTGAAAAGATGAAATAATGAATGTTTTCCTTCTTTCACTGAATTAGCGTAACAGAATACAGAGTGGGTTCATTGAAGCCGCATATCAGTCTCTGTGAATTCTTGGCTTTTATGAGTTTTGCTGGAGAATATATGACCAAGTGCTGATAGCTCTCATCACGGCTAATCCTCCTGTTTCTCTGGCTGTGTGTCGGTGTTAGCTGGGCTACAGTGCAGAGGAGTACTTTGAAAACATCTTACAGAACCTGGAGTATGTGCAGAAGAAACGCCTGCGGAAACTCAGAGTCAAAGTCAACAAAGAGGAGTAAGATTCCCCGTGGGGGTAGAATTAAATCAATACTCAGCAAACAGGCTTATTCCAGATATGTAGTAATTTAAAATTACAATTTTAAGTATAATCACTAATAATAAATGACTTATTTGCTTATGGTGCTTTGGTGTGACACACTATCTTGTATTTAGCACAGTGCATTCACATTCTCCCACACAAACTCCTACTCACAGATACAGTTCAGCCTTTCACTAAACACAGCAGAATGCTAATATTAGCCTGTTGTTATTAACCACAGGTTAATTTTAATATCTTTAATTTAACACGAGTTGTACTGCACTATAGTGTCCTTTACTGTACCATTATTTAATTCCACCCTCCTTGTTTTATCCAGGTGGGTAACTGGAGCTGCTGTTGTCAATGCCTTCTACTCATCCAGCAAAAACCAAATAGGTATTATCACATATGCACATGCAAACCCATTCAGATACATCTCATGACACACTACACTACACTACATTTTATTTAAGTCTTTTTGTTTTTCCCTTGCGGCAGTGTTTCCTGCAGGCATCCTCCAGCCGCCTTTCTTCAGCAAAGGCCAGGCTAAATCTCTCAACTATGGTGGCATCGGCATGGTAATCGGTCATGAGATCACACATGGCTTTGATGACAATGGTATGATTTTCTGCACTTTTGCTCTCTGTTCCTCCCAGAGGCATTTTGGGCAGATTATGATATTTGGATAGAAATATTTCCCTTGCTGTAATTATTACCACTTCAGAAAGAAGTGTTTATATGCCATTTCTTTGTGCCACCTCAGATCTTTTTCACCGCACTCATTTCTATTGGGTTATGTCAAGTTATTATGTTCAATCTCAAAGATGTCAGGATTCTTTTGTACTGATAACCACAACTGCGAGCCACCCAGAAACACAATATAAATGATGAAATGTATGGTAACTTGTAATTGACATCACTTGGTGCATTTCAGTGGTCTTAGATAACACGATAATGGCTGTTTGGGCATTGAAAAGCACCACAATCCTTTTTCCTGTTGTTGTTTAAATTCAACCAGCCAACCTTTCATGCATTTGACTTCTTGTTTTAGGTCGTAACTATGATAAGGACGGTGACCTGAAGGACTGGTGGACACCAGACTCCACTCAGAGGTTCCTGGAGCTGTCAAAATGCATCGTCAATCAGTATGGCAACTTCTCCTGGGACCTGGCCAATGGACTTCATGTATGTCCTGGTAGAACTAATCAGGGGTTAAGGTGGGATTTGGCAGGTGGGTGGGGGAACCCTAAGACTTAAAATCCTGTGCAACAGGTGACGAAGAAAAGTAAAAGTATTCTGACATCTGTTTGCTGCTTCAGAAAATGTGAGAATTTGTTGCTTATATATCATCTTAAATTCAGTGTTTTAGGGGTTTTAGACTGTTGGTCGGACAAAACTAGTAATTAGAAGAAACTGAAATTATGTAATAAAAGTTTATCAGACAATTAAAAAATAAAATTAAATACATTAAGTCAGTTAAATATTTATAATGTAAAAAGAAGCTTTGCCTTTAAGGTCAGATCAGATGGTAAAACCTCCACTTTCAAGCTTTCTTTAGAATTTACAACAACATTTTCTCCAATATTACCCCAAACCTTGCTTTTTGTCTCAGTTATTTGCCTTCCTGTTACCTTTGCCAGCCTACCTGTTACCATCTTTTCTCTAGTTTTGCAGGCTCATCTCTTCTCTCCTTCAGGTGTCTTTAATATTTTGTGTTGACATATCAATTCCTCTCGCTCTCTTTGTCTCCCCTCGTCGGTCCTATTGCATTGAACAATGCTTCTTTTATCCCCTGGGAGAATGATTTCTTGTATCCCAAAGAGTGATATCTGCGATTTGCTGAAATACGTAGGAAAAATTACCATTTCCCCCCTTTCCCCTGCCAATCTTTGTGTTCTCTCTCCTTATGTCCTCTCTCTAGTTAAATGGTAACAACACCCTCGGGGAGAACATTGCTGACAATGGAGGGATACGGCAGGCATATCAGGTAATGAGCCTGAAAACAAAAGAGGAAACTCGGCTTAGGAGCCCTGGTTTAAAGATGACAGAAGATGGCATTCAGTCTGTGGTTTGTTATTGTCGTCTGCTCGCTAATATTAATAGATGTGTCATTTTGCCAGGTCACTGACTGGCTCATTAGCTATTATAAACACAACAATGAAGGACATGGTGTTGCTGCTGATTTTGTCAGTTTTGACCAGAGGTGAACAGAGAAAGGGCATTTACAGATTTTAATGCTATAAGAAATAACAAATATTCTCATTTTAGATCAACCATGATGCCGCACAGTATCTGCTAATATTTATTTGCATTAACATTGTCAGTTTCGTTGCTTTTTTTCAAGGCGAACACTTTGTTGTTATATATGAATAACAAGATCTTGTGCAATACCGGTATTCTATTATTACAATTTTACAGGAAATGTGATGAAATTGATTTTTTTCTGCCTTAAACACAAAGTGACATAATTTTAATGCTAATGACAAATGCTCAAAATTTCCAACATCCACATTTAATTAGCAGGCGTATAATATGGAATGCTTTTTGGCTAGGTTTTTATAATCAGTAACAATTAGGACATTTTGAGCAATTTTTATATTTTTTCACTCAACAGTTGTCATATAAGATGAGAACATTTGTTTTCTATTAATACTTCAGGCCTATAAGAACTACGTGAAGGAACATGGAGAGGAGCCCCCACTGCCTGGCATTGACCTTTCCCACAATCAACTCTTCTTCCTAAACTTTGCTCAGGTAGTTGATGGATGGATGGATGGATGGATGGATGGTTAGATTGAGATAGACTGATGGATTACAGTAATTCATAGATAATGGATAGATACATAAATGATAAACTGGTGGATAATTTGGTGGATATATCGATGGGTGGATGATATATCGACAGATGGATTTGAATGAAAGACTGATTGAAGGATTTGGTTACAGGTTGATTGGTCTAATGCAGTATGTCCTAATTACTGTCTTATTCAGGTGTGGTGTGGAACACACCGACCAGAGCAAGCTGTTAATTCCATCAAAGTAGACGTACACAGTCCAGGGAAATTCAGGTAAATTCACATCAATCTGCCATGTGGCCTGGAAAAGATGACATGCTATGTACATTTCAATTTCAAGTAACCTCCTAATGCAGCAACTTTCTGAACTCAAGCAACCAACAATCTCCTCTGTATGTAATTACAGGGTACTGGGCTCCCTTCAGAATTTCCCAGAATTTGCCAAAGCGTTCAGCTGCAACAAGAGCAGCTACATGGTCCCTGACAACACCTGCCGTGTGTGGTGATCCACAGACCTCTGGGATGGGGACTGTTCTGACGTGGGTCATCCCTGTCCCCCAACAGTACCTCTCCCCTCTGACTGTTGGAGCACTTGTCTGGGGCTACAGGGAAGTGGAAGCTCCCCTTAGCTCTTTACTGGATGGACCAGGGCTGGTGGACTGACACTGCAGTATGCACTTCCTCCGAGGAAAGCAGTGGACTGTACCCTCACGGACAGGCGGGGCACTGTCTCTCCAACTCTAATACTGTAGTTCATTCAATCAGCCTGATTATTCTGCTACTCACTGGATACAATCACTCCTTGTTTTTATTTTTCTTCTCTCCATTTTCATCTTGTTTTATTCATCATTTGTGAGTCTGCCAATGTGTATGTGAGCGTGAGTTTGTTTCAGTCAAAATACTGTACAAGTAGTTGGCAAGAGATGGGCAGACAGACAAATGTGCTCAAACCCACTGGCATATGAATACACCACACACCCACTCACACTTATATACATGTAACAGAACCACTGTACTGTATGTGGGATTGAGCTGTATGCCTCTCATAAAACCTCAGCTGGTTTCAGCCTTCATCTACATGCTGATACACTCTACAATGTACTCGTAATGTACTCTTTGTTAATACTTAGGACTATATTAGGTAAATTATTACAGAAAATCAGAATTTATTTTGTTGAATAGACCAGTAAATATTTAACCATAATCACATATTACATAATACTGTTCTATATTTAATGTTAATGACTTAACTGCAGTTGACAGGCGGCTGCTGTTCATTAGCAGTATGTCAAATAAACCAAAATGAATTTTTTCGCCTTTAAGATGACAGTTGGTCATGAATCATTGAGCTGACAATCGACAGACACCCAACCATTTTTATACTTTCACTGAGCCTCCTGTGTGTTTCTATATGGATGTATTTCTCTATGTGTTTTCCAGTCTTTGTAAGTCATTATGATCGCTGCCTACTGTTTGTCAAGCAAACTGGTATGCCTTACATCATCTGTTGTGCTACAGTGTGACAGTGTGTATGTGTATAATTCACGGGAGAACAGAAAATAAGAAAATGTAACATAAAAGGAATAGACTTTTTCACAACCGTGCTATTTGATGTCTGTACGCTACAGCCAGAAGCCAGTTAGTTTTGCTTCAGATAAAGACTTGAAATACCTCTACAGCTAACTGATTTCCACATTATTCTTTGTTAGTTTAATCAGTACAAAAAACAAAGTTTAAAAACAACAAGTTGTGGTTTTAAGGGTCGTCATGTGCTGGACTGTTTCTTGACCAGGAGCAGTGACTTTCTGGAGTCTTTGACGCTGCCTGGTAACCTTATAGCGTCAAGACTGTAGACAAGGAGTCTTTACCTTTCAACTTTTCTATAGATTATCAAAGAAAATATAGCTTGGTAATTGGTGAAATTTAAATGTGGTGTTTCCAGTTGTTATGCTAAGCTAAGCTAACCATGTCCTGGCTGTAGCTTTATATTGATTAGAATGATATGAGAGTGGTATCAATCTTCTCAACTCAACTTGACAGCATATAAGTGTATATCACAAAATGTTGAACAATTCCTTTCAGAAAGGTGTTGTGATTTCTCAGTTTGACCTTGGTTTTAACACATAAAGTCTGCCATATTACCCACCTTTTAAAAAAAAAAAGATTCTTGTACACATTGAAGCAAAAATCAATTGGCAGACGATATAATTAAGCTTTTGAAAAGGAATGTTTATCTTATCTATTTTAAACTGCAGGCCAAGTCTTGGCTGAAATCTAATGAAGTTTTCAAAAGTGCATGCATTTTTCTGAATGCAAGTCAAGTCAAGTCAGTAGATCCCAGTTTAGGATTCATCGTTTTGTACGGCTTTATTTTCTACGTTAAAATGTAACTGAGGATATGATACAAGATCGTTATTTGTGGAGTTGCCTTTGCCTTTTATATAGAAATTAGTGCAATGAATGAATGATCATGTAGAGCACTTCTTCAGACTGTATACAACACCCTTCATGTCCAGACTTTAGGTTCAGACGTTCTTTTCCCATGTTTTTTTTCATATTATTTGTGCAAGCTTTCTGTCTCTCTGTCACTGTTGCTCACTCCCTCAGGCTTTCTTTCTGCCTCTCTCTCTCTGCCTCTCTCTCTCTCTCTCTCTCTCTCTCTCTCTCTCTCTCTCTCTCTCTCTCTCTCTCTCTCACACACACACACACACACACACACACACACACTCCACCTGTAGAAAGACAGATATACCTCAGTTGCCTGTATTTAGATACTTTATAATAATGACTGATAATCATCTTGAGGAGCATTTTTTTTCTTTCAAAATAAATCTTTAAATAACACGCTGAGCCTGCAGGTGAGTAGTCCTACAAGGTTTGTGTGTGTATTGTGTGTGCATCTGAATCAGGCATATATATATATATATATATATATATATATATATATATACATATAAATTCAAGCTCTTAAATCTGATACAAAGACATGTTACATTACATCTTAAGCGTTGGTGGTTATTTTTGGCAAGGCCTCAAAATGAGAAACATCTTTTAATGTTGAACTTAAATTGTGCACTGCATAAGAATGTGAGTCCACATAATATCTTGGTCGTGCTGACTTGACTTAATGTTTTTTTTTTTCTGGATATAATGTTCTACATCAAAAAGCAGAAATTCTGCAGAAATGTTCTTTTGCTCCTCAGTGCACTCTGCAGAGTTCTTAAAGAAGGTTAAACTATTGACAGATATTTCTTACATTCTGTTTCACTCATACAGAATTATTGACTTGAGGGGAGTATTAGGAATATGGGGGTATAGTTTCATGTAATCATTTCCACAGAGACAGGGAAAAAAAAGAAAAAGAATAAGTTAATTTAAAAGCAGCATTAGCCTGAACTCTTTTCCCACTAATTGGACCTATAAGCATTGGGGGAATAGGGGGCTAATGTGTTGCATGATGCAAACAAATGAATGTGCAATATCTTTGTGACAGCTCTTAAGCTGCCTACTAGTAAATATACCCCATGCTGCAATGAACCAGCAAGCACATTTCCTGGCACAGGAATGGCTTGTACCCTGGCTGTAACTGGAGAGGCAAACAGTCCGGGATGTACAGGGAATAAGAAAAAAACACTTCAAGGAGTTCAGAGGTAAAAGAGAGAGCCAAAGGGAATTATAGCGCACAGGATGTATAGGACAGGGGTGCCAAGTAGGATCACCAGAAATATGGCCAAACTTTGAAGCCAGGTGTCAAAAATATCTTCAGGAATAAGGTAGTTCAACAGGGGCCAGTGCAAATACGCAAAAGTGAAGTTGGGAAGTTCATGACTTTCAATTTATTTCTTCATTTTTAAAAACATTTTGTCACAATATATACAGTTCAACCTATTGGTGGTTTTCACCACATTGTTTCAATTGTACAACTCCAATGTGAATACACTTCCTCTGGTGGAGCAGAACAACAGCATTTTTGGGGTTTTACTCGACATTCCACAAAATGTCAAATAGGTTGGCTTTAAAAATCAACTACAGACTGCATTTCTTACAACTTTTCCAAATGTTCATTTGCTTACTTATTCGTTCTACTTTATTTAATGTATGGTAAAAGTATAAAAACAAGCCTGTGTGATTGCGTGGGAATGCATTTCCATCTCTCTGAGACTCATTCAAGTATTGTTTTCAGCTGAATATCAGTTGCAATTGCTTATTTACTGCCTGGCTTCCCCTTTTGCTCTCATTGGCTGGTAGCACTCTGGCAGATAACTGAAGGTTCACACCACCCACCTTCCTCGTGCTCTCACCCTCCCTGTCATAAGCAGCTATGCTTGCTAACATCACAGCTAACATTACAGCACCTCAGCATGTTCCTGGGAGCTGCTTTGCACTTTGCACACTAGAAGGCTGAGGTTTTATCCTGAAGTAACACAGAGCATGTGGGATGTTTGGAGCCTTTAAACTTAATAAGAATGAGAAGCATGACTTGATTCAAAATATATCTGTCTGTGTAACAAACATAATTAACACCTCTGCACTTTAAACCTCCAATCTTTGAGGCAGTTTTTAGAAAGTCACCCATGCTAGACCTTCTTTTGTTTATGCTCTCAATAGAAAGTTCTGCTCCCCTCTGTTGCCCTCTAGTAAAAAAAACGACTTGGTTTTCCTTCATGTGCCCTTTGAGCGACCCTAACAGTCGCAGTGGTATGTGTGTGTGGAGGGCAGGCATGCGGCCTCTGGAATGCCTGTCAGTGTGTGTGTGCGGCAGTGCTCAGGGCAATATGTGGTGACTGAGGGGAGCATAACACAAATTGTGCACACTCACCACATGTACACCGTAAAGAACATGTGCACAAAAGCACACATACATATACTCATACACACGTGCAAATTATGTATTAGGATCATAAGTGAGAAAGTGTTTCAGGTAGGCAATTAGAGTGGGTACAGTGCTATTGCACACTTGATTTGAAAGAAGCTCTCATTGTGAAGTGCACTCTCACTGTGCTCTCATTGTTAAAGGCCACTGATAATCGCCCATTCTGGTTTTAAAGAGGTAAAAGTTTCTGCAAAAAGTTTTCATTGCCATGGCTTCAAAGCTTCTGTCCTATGCCCATTTGAAAGTCTCTCTGTGATTGGTGCTCTTCATTTAATACATGCATTAAGTGACTTCTACCTTTTAAAAACACATTGCTATTACTCAGTGAGTGCACGGGCAGCAAAAAAACAGTACACCTTTTAATGTGTCTATTCTTACAAGCATTAACTAAGTGACACACTGTACACCTGGTATAACTATAACATTACAAATGTTGACCACAATGATGTTGTTAATCACAAAAAAAATTGAATGATAAAGAAATTTATCTCTACACATTTAAAACAAACACCTATTTAAAATATAAACAGTGCAGACATGACTAATGATGAACCCTTTCAAAATGTTTTACATTAAAGGCCAACCTGTATTTTTTTGTGGAAATCTGGAAACTGCAGGTTTTACTAGATCTATTTCAGAATGTACACTTCTCCTGCTTAAGCCCTAAGGTATATGTGCTCACTCTATAATTAATGTAAAACAGTGACATCATGTGGTTGAGCTTTGCTTTTCAGTTGAGTCTCTGGTGTAATACAAAAGTTAAATTACATCAAATGTATAAGATCCAATATCTTTAAATGATAACAGATTACTTTGTCCCTTACAAATATAATTAATAACAATATAATAATACACTTTATTTATACAGCATCTTTCAGAAGACAGTTACAAAGTGCTTTACAATAAAAAGGGAAGAACAAAAAGAGAATAAAATTAAATAAAACCCATAAAACTTAATACACTGTAAAACACAAAGAACTTAAAATGTCATAAAACAGACAAAAGCTCCCTTTAAAAATGGAAAATTTAAAGACGGGAGAAAGTTTGCAGCCCTGATCATCTTAGGCAGGTCATTCCACAGTTTCGGGGCCGTAACTGCAATGGCTCAAAAATCCTCTTTGTGTATAAATATGGGCAAAGGAAGAACAAATATAAACCATATGTTGATTCCTTGCATTGGATCTAATTTATTGTTCACAGGTTAATTACTGTGTTTTTGCTTCCTCTATTACAATGCAAGACACAGGTCCTGGAACTGGCAGCTCACTGATGCCATTTGAATAGAAATCTGGAGAAAGTTATTCATGCATTTTTCTCCCTCATGTTGTGACCAAGCCACTGGAGCACGCTTTTTCCGCTTTTTCCTTTCTACTTTAATCATGCAGTAGTTCAACCACACCCCCACAAATAGGAGCATTAATCACTCAAATCCCAATAATTACAGCTTTTATCCAGGCATTTTAGTTGTTTATTTGGTTCAAAACAGCAAAGAGCTTCAATGAATCAAAACAACATTTATCTAAACTCTCTTGATTGAGGGTATTGTGCAGTTGCAGAGACTGCTGCCATTAAAGTAACCACGGATCTTCTTTTAGCAGCGGCAGACAGGTGAAAAATCTGTTTCATTACTTTTACATCTTAGTGCAGCCAGTGACAATGTAGACTATGCAATTCTAATTAACTGCTTCAAGTTTGGGACTGGCGTGAAGGTCACAGCACTTAATTGGTTCAGCTGATGTAACACACTTTCTGTCACAATGGGAAATGCCACTTCTTTGATATGCAATACTCTGTGGGGCTTCTCTTACAGAATCGTTTTGCTTTTCATTTCAATGCTCTCGTTAGGACAAATAATCCATAACAATTGTAGTTCAGTAGTTTCTTGCATTGTTACACAAGGCTGGCACACAGATACATCTACTGAAATGATGAGTCACTCTGAAAGAGTATCATAGCATCCCCTCACTTTTTATAAGAAAGACATGCAATCTTTCGTCTCCAGTTTTTAATCATCCGAAGAAAGAATTTTAATCTTCATTTAAGGTTTTAATGCTTACAACCTCAAAATGTAGCAGCTCTGCAGTTACACAACAAAATCACATTACTCCAATTGTGGCTTTCGGTATCTGAATTTATTTTAAGGTTTTATTGATTTCTTTTACAGCACAGTTGGATCAGGCCTAAAGCTACTGTTATAACCAACTTTAGAATTCCCTTTGATTCAGGGAAGAGCATTCACATGCAGGACCCTTATTGTGGTCCCAAAAACAAGTTTAATACCAATTGAGAACAGGCTTTGCCCTCAACAGCCCTTGGCTTTGAAACAGCCTGCCTTAGGCCAAGTAGTTCAAAAGCCATGCCTATAAACACCACTAGTGGTACTGCTTATGCTACTACTGCTACTATAATACTGCTACCAATATTGTAATATGTAAAATATAACAGTATATCCATAACATTCAATTTGAAAATTATTAAACAAACTGTAATTGTGCAGACATTACATGTATTATTATTTCTACCCTTAATGTTGTTGTTAAGCATGGTTTAAACATGTTTTGGCACCCATTACCCTCATCTTAGGATGGAACATCTGTAACCTTTGGGTCCTAATCATGAATTTTCCATGTTTTCACCAAATTAGTGCATTACACTGTGCAAGCAGCACAGCAATAAACATGAAATCTAAATATGCGACGCACAAAGTATACCACACCTGGAAGACATCTTATTACACAGCACCATGTGGTGTACCTGCATAATGATCTATTTGAGGACAGAATGCCAAATTGAGGCTGAATGCGAGGGTTGGGAGGGGTGTGTGAGTGGCAGTAAGAGGCACTGTCTTGCTGTTATTGACGTAAACAGACTGGGTATGTTAACAGCCTAAACACATAATTATCTACCAGTTACAAATGAGTTGATACTACTGAATTACTATTAAGAAGTGTATCTTTTTAACACAAGCTTG